CAATAATTTCACACAATGTAAGCATGTCACTGAACAATACATTTACATGTGTCAGTCAGTTTGACCCTTGGTGGTTCTTGTACAGTTTGAGGAGTCTAGGTCTTCTACGTTGAGTCTAAAGGTCAGTCTACGTGGGAGTACTGTCAATACAATTGCATACTGTAGGTATAGAAACAGTAACAAATGGTCTCAATGTTGACTATTATTCAAATAGACAGTATTCATTCCACTTCTGTAAGCTTCTGTGTATTGTAGAGGAGAATTGGAGGGTAGGCTGTCTAAGGGGTTTTCTCACTTGATAATAATCTATATTCTCTCTCTTTCTCTGCCTCTCTCCTCCTCTATAAGGAGATTTGTAGTTAAATAAAGCCAAATACTCCACAGAAGCCAAGTGCTCCATAAAACTGTAAAGGTGTAAAACAGCCTCTGCTATTAAGAGAATGTAGTGTGTACGTTTGTGTGCATGTGTGTGTGGTTTACGTTTCTATACAATCTCCACCTTGCGTGAAATTGGGCACTGGGCAAACTGAGAGGGTGATCATTGATTAATCAGTATACGTTAATGAGCTGCATCGATCGAGAGACCAGTAGACTCAGTGCCGACCTTAGAGGGTGTGAGACCAATACGCCATCTTACAGCAGCAAGGGAACCCATCCTGAACCAGACACTCTGAGAGACAGATGCGAAGGGTGTTGTGGGTACAGCAGAAGCTTGACATTGTTATGATGGATGTCTATGGATCACTGACCTGACAATGCAACAGTGATCCCTTGATCCCACACTGCTGTGGCTATGTGACACCTACTAATTTGTCAATTTTTGTCTGCTTCAGTTCACCCAAAGCACTATGAATTGCATTTTAAACCGCAACTCTAAGATGTGTCTTCTTGGCCCATTTAGAAGGACTTCCAATGCAATATCAGGTCAAATCATTATTTTCGTAACTACTTGTGTTAGTGGCTAATTTGTCAAAATTTGTGGAATCTCATTTATACCAAAGTTCCTTTAAGGCAAGACATTTTACATGGCAGCCATACATGATCCAAGATTATTGAATTGACTTTCGAATGAGACATTAAATCGAGGTCCTGACTCTCTGTGATCATTAAAAATCCCAGTGCACTTCTCGTAAAGAATAAGGGTGTAACCCTGGTGTCCTGGCAAAATTCCCTTCATCCGCCCTTACCCATCATGGCCTCCCAATCTTTCCCATCTACCATATTGTCCCTATCACTGTCTCTCCACTCCACCAATAGCTAGAGTGTAGTAAGCGAACTGGCGCCATTGTCTTGTGGCTGCCGTTGCATCTTCCAAGTGAATGCTGCACACTGGTGGTGGTGTGAAGAAACCCCCTCTCATGATTGTGAAGTGCTTTGGGTGTATGGCTATACACAACAAATGCGCTATATAAATACACATAACATTACAATCGAAGGGAACGAGATCACGACACCAACCTCATTTTTGGTTGTTTTACACATTATCATCCTCTGATAAATGCCTCATACAATTGCGCTGGTCTTCTGTAGTAATTCCCAACTTTGTCTTGGCAAAACTTCTCCCAAAATGACAGCGGCCTCCTTGTTTACAAGTTTGTGGGTGTTTGAGTAGTGATATATGTTTAATAGGACAGATTGTAGATATATTTATCATGTCTGTGAATCAAGTATTCCCTGAGATTCCAGTGCATTTGAGTGAGCCCAGAGGATTAACAACAACTGCAAAAACTATTGTAAAGAGCACACGTATGGTCTTTCAGAGAAACGTCAATGTATAGTGATCAATGATTGGCTCCTGTACTAGTAGGCGGAGCTTAATTAGTTGTTACACTTTTTTCCCATTCCAACCCAGGCTTACAAGGAAACGTAACTATTTTATGTCTTATCGGAAAGTGGCTAATTCATACAAATTCGATGTCATTAATTTATATGATTTTTATAGTAATAATTCCTTTAATTTACAAGTGTTGGAGGGGAATCTCCTCATCCACCACTAGTGTGCAGCATCCACCTGGATGACACGACAGCAGCCATATTGTGCCAGACTGCACACCACACATCAGCTGATTGGTGGAGAGACAGAGTGATGAAGCCAATTATGATAAAGTGATGTTTAGGAGGTCACAATGGACAGAGGCCAGTGGGCAAATTTGTCCAGGATGCCGGGGTTAAACCCCTACTCCTTTTCTAAGGTCATCCTAGGAATTTTAATGACCACAGAGTTTCAGGACGATTTAACATCTCATCCGAAAGATGGATAATAGATATATCTGTTTATGATTTTTAAAAGGCAGCATGCCCACCACTAACCCTACACCTCCCTAGAGATTGAACATTATACAAAACATAGTATGAGCGTTGTACTAAAATATACAAATTAGATTGTACAAAGTAACACAAATTAGCCACCAAATCTAAATTAGTTACAAAATGCTACATGATTATGTGGTATATACATAACTCTAGCAATCCCCTATTGGTTCATTCACACACAGCAGTATTGGCCAATCAGAAGTATTTCCTAATCCATGTAAGAACATGCATAGTGTGCCCTAGCTTGCCTCTGGTATACTGTGCAATTATGAAAGCTTATAATTCTCCCCATCCTCCCCTAGCACCACATACCTTACAGGGGTTTTACTTCTTTTATAGCAGCTACTTTTCCTTATCTTGATTAAACTGAACTGAATACTGTTTTCTTGCTCTACAGCTGCAACATCATTAGCAGCAGCATCATAGTAAATCTTGTCCTCCAAATTCAAGCTCATGTGTATTCCACACCCATATCAATAAACACTAATTGAAATATGTGTCAGAGAGTTGTCATGACTGAATATATATTTTGATCCCACTTTATATTAAGTGGCCTTAACTAATATGTACTTACATAGGAATTAATAGTTTGTTACAATGTACTTATTGTGTAAATAACTGTGTACTTATGCTTGATTAAATACATGTATGTAATTACATCTGTAATTAACTTTTGTAATTACATTTGTAAATGCACTGTTGACCATCTCTTACACCTTAACCTACCCTTAAACCTACCCATGCCACCAAACCTGTCCATAACCCAACTTCTATCCCAACTCAAAAGCACCACAAATGTTCTCAAATACATTATAAACACAGTAAGTACATTGTATTTATTTTTTTGATGTAAGTACATAGTAGTTAGGGACACTTAATATAAAGTGGGACCTATATTTTAGTGTGATCCCTTTAGGTCCACTCCTAAAGATACACATCAGTGAGGGCCTAAACAGATCACACCAAAACATACAGATGAGATTTCCTTGAGATTTTCATTCATATGAATTAGACACTGATTTGCCAATATGAGAAATAGTTGCTAGGATTTCCCTGCACAAAGACTGTACTGTTTTGCTGCTTAATATGCTTCATAACTATCTTAACCAATGAAATATAACTCATCTCCCAGCTAGCTGTCAGTGGGTTTAAGATTCAACATCTACAGTACCTGGAAGCACAAACAAGGCCTTGTTAACCATCCAAACCTTGACCCCTGGAGGTAGATAAGCTGTAAATAAACACTAACCAGCATATACTTGTCTAGATTAGAATGGCAGCAAGTCTGTACAGTACAGCACATCAGGGTTATACAGGATAAGACCTGCAGTTGAAATTTCACCTGTGCTAGGATTGCAATATTTGATGCCCGAGCCAGTATTTGAGTGTGTTTTCATGTGCCAAAATATATTTGCATTTCAGTATGTCCCTAAACCACATTATGCTAACGGTACTGGAGCGTAATGTGATAATGTGTTCAGCAGATATCAAAGGAATGTAAATATTACAGAATATGGTCCCAGGAGCAGGACGGGCTATCAGCGTTACTTCAGTATCATAAAAATACATGCACACACTCCCTCTTTCACATCTATTTCTGTTTATACTCATATTTTTCTGATGATTGCGGTGAGGCGCATTGCATGTTCATTGGTGAGAGAAGCGGATAAAGAGGCAGATTAATATCCCTGGCTATATTCATTTTCGTTTATGTACAAAACACCCACTCTCTCTGTCTCACTCTCAAACACTCACTCACTCACTGAGTGAGCTTTTCCTCTTTACCCCTTTTTATTTAGTTTGACAGTTCTGTTATTCAATATGCAATTATTCAGTCTCATTCTTTGGCATCAAATGTAATAAGCATTTGATTAATAGCTTTACCCCAAAAAACTTGCAATCAATTGACAACAAACAGAGGTGTTTTGGCTTTAGAAAAACTGCTAGTCAGAGTTGTGGACACTGATGTTTTGCATTTTTGCCCTGTAGGTTGACATAACAATAGCAAAGCTTCAGTCTCAGTATCAGTGCTGTAATCAGAGACCATGCTGTTTTTTTTTTTCTTCTGTTTGGCCAGTGGCAAGGTTACCGGAACTAAAACATGGCCGGAATCCAACGTCTTTTGGCTCCACTGAGTAACACTCTTTTTATAAAACATAATTAACATCAGTTATTACAATGCAGACATACTTGTCCAAGTGTGAACATGGAAGAGATGATGTGTCTCGAGGTAGTAATTAGCATCCTAAGGGCAGGTCTTAATGCAACCCAGAATAGCCTGTGCATGTGGGACGCGTTCAAAGACTGTAAATCACACCTTATAAAGGGCTTGCCTCTTCCGGCTTTGTTCATGTCATAAAATAGCAGTCAACCCCCTTCTTCCCTTATAAAAGTCTGAATAAATCCCATAATGCTGCAATTTAATGAGCTTAGCGTTTCTCTCCTTTAGATGACCTATGGAGCATTGCTTTGGAGAGGCAACTGTATTTCAGAGCAGAGTGTATTTCAGGACTTTGTCCCAGTCAGTTTGAAACCGGGAGCCAAGAAAAATGACATCAGTGTGCAACTTTAGATCAAAACTTTTTACAGTTTGCTCTTTGGTGCTCTGGGAAAGCAGCTTCTGTTTGAATTTTAATTGTTGCCAGTTGTTTAAAGTGGATAAAATATGAATTTACAGATGGACCTACCTGGTCTTTTGTCCGTTCTTCCTCTTCGACCGCCACATAGTCGTACTTTAGATATAAGAACAAGAATTTGTTTCTGGCAAAGGGACTTGTTGCTCTTAGGGCAAGGCTTGCGTTTATTTGCTATCGGCCGGTTGGCCTGGTCGTCCTTGACTGCCCGTTTTTGTCTGATGAGAGAACTGGCAAGAGCTGCCATCTTCCCCCCCTCTCACCTTTGGGAGGGGGGTCTCTGTTTGCTTAGGAGACCCTCTCTGGATGCAATTGTCTTTTTATAAGCAGCACAAAGAGATAAATGTCAAAGGTCAAACCTCGCAGGGTGAGGCAAGAATTCAGGTAGTTTCCTCACGTTGTCCTGTGTTTCCCTCCAGTAAGGGAAGAGGCTAAGTTCTGGTCCACTCACAACCTGTCCATGGTTTGTCCTTCATCATGTTTGTTTTACTAAAAACATTTTGACACCCCAACAAATCCGTAAATCGTAAATCGATGCAGTCACATTTCCACCAAAAAATACAGAAAGAAGCTGACAAAGTCATCGTTGCGACATTGCCGACATATTCGCCCCCCCTCTTCTCACTTCCCCTCCCCTTGTGTGTTGATCCTGAAGACGAAAACACTGACAACGCTAAAGTTTAGCACACAAACGATAAGCTTTCTCACCCGCACACGGCTGGTCCTCACAGAAACTTCTTCAGTCTCCACCAGCAGAATTTATTCGGGATAAATTCAGGAGCAGATCCTGTCAGGAATGGGCAGATGGTCAGCCTGCAGTCCCTATGGCTAACTTTAGTTGTGCTGGGTGGTGGGGGGAGAAAAAAATAATAATCTGGAGTGGTAATCCTGCGCTCCCACGTCCAGAGGCACTTCTGCTTCAGCTGCTGGGACGGACAAAGCCCTGAGTCGCAGGACGGGAGCCGGCAAAAGAAGAATGGACTCCGAGAAATTTCCCTTCTGCCTCTTCTGGCACACGCTATCTCTCCCCACAGCCCTACATTACCCCCCCTCACCCCAAAGCCAGCGAGCGTGCGTGTGTGGGTGTGTGCGCAAATCCAGCGGCTACCACCAGTAAAGGTGACATTCATGAGAGAACAAGTGAGGGAGGGAGAGCGAGAGCGATTGAGTGAGGGGAAAGAGAGCGAGTGAGTGTAAAAGAGAGTGGGAGAAGAACAAGAATGATGAATGAGAACAATGGAGGAGAGAAAACAGAAAGATGAAGGGAGAGAAAAAGAGGAGGGTGAGAGAGAGTTAACGCTTCTGTTCTTCCTTCACTCCGTCGTGTCTGTCCTTGATGGGTAGAGTGGAGGAGAGAGAGAGAGAGAGAGCTTAAGGTGCCAGTGGTGACAGTTTTCAGTCACCTCAGGAAGAACATTGTGCGTTCTGAGTCAGTTATCGCTGCCAAATTCACACACTCTCACATAAATTTATCCCCCTCACCCGCTTCTCTCTCTCTGATACACACATCCCTGTGTACACAATCACTTTTAGGGGATTAGGAGTGTACCACTTTTATTGGTTTAGTGTTCAGTTTCGTGCAGTCCTCGCGCTTGGAGTGCTTCATGTTTGCGAAGGTTTACAAACAGAAAGACTTTCTCCGTCTTTTTCACTAACCTCTTTTCTCATTTACTTTATTGCTCTGGATTCTTAGTCTCAAAGCTCTCTTTTTTCTGCCACTGTATCCCCCCCACCCCTCGATTCTTCTTTCTGACATCACTGCAGTTTCGCTTTATCTCAGTGTATTTTCCAGTCTCTTGGCACTCTGCAAATACAGCATGTGAAATGAGCGGGACCTGAGGGGCGGTTTGCTTAAAGAGACAGACAGGCACTGAGCGCATGTCAGGATAGGCGGCTGTCTCTCATTAATAGTGACACAGACAGGTAGAGACAGAAATCATCTCTGCTCTTCCGTGTCCTCATGCACATTAGATGGCTGTGTACTGTACACGTTCTCTGACTACAACTAATTTATTAAACAGATTCACCCCTTTAGGTTGACTTCATAGCCATTTAATTTTGATCCTGAGCAGGCACTGAATGTGCTGAAATAGCACTCTGCTATGAGTGTTTAAATATGTAAAAGCCGTTATCATTGTTTTCCGTGCAAAAATATCTCACTGTGTATTAGACTTTAAATGTGCCATATTTACAAGAGTCAGCATTATTTCTCTACATTTATTTTTATGCCATTTTAGAAAATGATGAAAAGAAAGTAGATACTAATATGAAGTCAAGCACACAATAGTAGTTTATTAATTTAAGTGTAAATGAAGGCAAGGGATTTTATAATCAGCTCAGGCTCATTCTGATGATGCTCCCCTATATACATTTCTGGAGAGGGCAAAATACGTCCCAGAAGCTATTTTTTTTTGCCATTTTTGTTTTTGCAAATCCACCAGAGATCACTGTATATACTTTTTCAGATCTCAAATTTCTTGCGAATGCCATCCGCACCTGCTGTTCTCGCGTAAACCCACCAGAGGCCGCTGTTGACTGACTGACTTACTGACTGACCAACTGACTGATTCCCCCTACCCTCCCCTTTCACTAAACCCAACCAATGGAGTTTTAAAAAGCACCGAAATCCCTCCCCACCTCCGTCTCCAAACCCAACCGCAGTGTTTTAAAATGCAATACCGAAAAAGCCACATTTTCAGATTTTACCACATTCTGACCCTGTTATTTACTTGTTTATTTAATTTTTTAGCTTTTTTTTTGGTCTTACCTGCTTTCTGGAACCTTTCTTCACTGGACTCGAACCCCGTTGTCAATCATCTCCTCTTTGCATCGCAAGTCCACTGACATACATGTCAAGCTAACGGACGAACTGGTAACAGCAGGAAAGCCGTCCATATGGAGGTAAGCAGTCTGCTGGTAAGCAAGAAACGGAATTGCGTCATACTGCCCCGTAGCATTTGTTTTAAAGATAAAATGCAGCCATGTGTTCCTTAGGCTACATAATTTGCGATCTCCAGGAATGTATATAAGGCTAGGTTTTCAGAATGAGCCTATGTTGCTTACAGTATCACAAACTGTGACATCACAGGGTTTACTTAGTTGCCTAATGCAAATGGAGTAATAGTAAAATCATAATACCTAATAGTAAAACCTTTCCATGGCAGCTACTTGACCTGTCATGGCTACAGTGTATGCACCTGCTTTTCAACCCATTATTGTTATGCACTGTATGTCTGTCTTGGGATCAATCACTTTTATATGTGCAAGCCATGAAGAATGTTATGGCAATACGCATCTGTGATGCAACCTATGTTAATGCTAAGTTGTGGCAAGTATGATGCTTGGTACCACAGGATGCATGCTGAATTATATATTAAAAAAACAGAAATAAACATAGATCTCTCACTGTTTACATTCTGATTGATTAACACAAGTAAACCGACAGTTCTGTTCTACTCATTATTTTAATCCAAAATGGAGCATGTATCTGCTGGAACTTACTAAACTTACTAAACTTACTAAAAAGATGTTTTGTAAATAGTAAATATTGACCTGCTGTGTGTTGTAGGGCTGTCAATTTGTCTGAAAACCAACATTCCAAATTCTTTCTTTAATATAAGAAGTTTATTTATGGACTAATTTCGAGAAGATCATGTGCTTATGATTGATTACAGCTGGTCCCGCATAAGCCAATACATAATTCACCAATCAGATGATTCCTAAGTCACCTTGAATAACCTAAGTTCCAAACCACAGCCATCAAACGCGTCAAAATCAATCATTAGGTAAATGTGAACTTTTGAATTACATTCGAATACTAAAGGCAATTTTTAATGCTACAAGTTCTGTATTGTCTTCTATGCCCCAAAAAAGTGCCCAAGAGAGCATAGTAAGTAAATAAACACCTGATCAAGCATCGAATCATTGAAATGAAATGACACTAAATTTTTTAGAACATCCAATTTTGGGGTGATTTCTTCCTATTTTGCAGCAGGTAGTGGCTGTGGGGTGTTTGCAATGTAAATTGCATTAAACATTGACTGCTTTAATGCAGGCCCCTCATCATGGCACTTTTTTTTACAATGTAATTTTTTACACAATTTACAAATGACTTTAATTGAATATGTTGACATGGAGACTAATAATTAGATATTAGTATGATTAAGACAGTACTCTGATTAAGTTATTTAGTTATTGAAGTGCAGTACAGATATGTTAACACCTTAATCAACTATTACTATTGTGTAGGATTTTCGCCGCATTTTGCGACAGGATAGTCTATACGCACACAACGGATTGACACTTTTTTTCTGCATTTAATGGGTCAGTGAAGGACCACAGACACCTGCAATGCAAAACATAAATCATGATCGCCAGAAATGTGTATAGGGGTATGTTTTCAGAATGAGCCTATGTTGAAAATGTGGGGATAAAGGTGCCAGACTCATGAAAATAAACAGAAAGAGGCTGTTGCAATGTCTGTTCATTCACTTGCATCTCACAAATTGACATGTGTCTTCAGCGGTGGCAGGTTTTATGGCAGCTCCCACTGCCATGCAAACATTTTACCCTGGTTAATGTATTATGGGCTCAGTCATCTTTTCAAGTTCACCTTCCTCCATTTTAAGAAAAACCCTGTCATGTAAAATATGTATTTTTTAATATTACTAAAGTGGAAATCAGTTCACTAAATAATGCAAACTTGACATGGCGCTATATTCTCATTTAAAATTGCTAGTTCAGTTGATTGATTCACAGTAATTCACAGTGATGATATTGTACATATATAGAGTGGGAACATATAGAGAAGACAGAAGTGGCAGTTGTATTGCACTTACTCTGTAAAACTTGCATAGATCAATCTTTCATCCGTTGTTATAGTTATCATAATGTCAAATCTGACAATTTAACATTGAATCACTCATTTTATCAAACATTATGCTACGGTTACCAAAACTGAAAGAGAACAGTTACATACAGAAATCAAGTAAAGAGCACTCCATTTATAATCAATAATGTTTATATGACAACACAAGCTCACTGACTGAGTGTTAATAGTTTGTTGGTTTTAACAAATCGATTCGCTGGCGATTCGCAGAACTCACACAAAACATACAGTACACAGTCAAAATGTGTATTGAGCACACTCTAAATAACCAGTGGCTATTGCACTGACACAGTCAACCGCCAATGTCAACATAGGCTCATTCTGAAAGCCAGAAGTACGTATGGCTGCATTTTTAAATTTTTAAATTGAACGCTACAAGGCGGTATGATGCTGTTCTTTTTTGTTCTTACCAGCTGACCGCTTACCTTCATGTGGATAGCTTTCCCGCTGTTACCAGTTTTCCAGTTAGTTCGCCATGAATGTTGGTGGACAGGAGATGCAGAGAGGAGTTGACCACAAGAGCGGGGTTCAAGCCTGGTAAAGAACTGTTCCTGAAAGCAGGTAAGACAAAAACCGAATCCAAAAAATAAAATAAACAAGTAAATCACAGGGTGAGAATGTGGTGAAATATGAAAACGTGGTAAAAAAATCAGGTGAGGGGTTTTCTTTTTCTGAATTGATTTTATCAGGCGAGGGCTTTTCTTTTTACTTTATAAAACACTGCGGCTGGGTTTAGCTAAGTGGGTGGGCAGGTCAATCGGTGCTTTTGAAAATAAAATTGGTTGGGTCAGTCAGTCAGTCATTCAGTTAGTCGACAGCGTCTTCTGGTGGATATTTTTATGCGAGAACAGCAGGCGCGAATAGGACTCGTGAGAAAAATTTGAGATCTCAAAAAGCGTATAAAGCAACCTCTGGTGGATTCGCAAAACAAAAATGTATCTCCTGGGACGTATTTGTCGCTCTCCATAAATGTATATAGTGGTACATTTTCAGAATGAGCCTGGGTTGGCCAATGTGAATGACTGCAGTTTTCAACACTGTTAAGCATCTTGTGAATAGCAACACTTAAACACTTATAAAATACACATAGAAACATTTGAAAGCAGAAATATCGGTCCCACTTTATTTTAAGTGTCCTTAACTACTATGTACTTGCATCAAAAAATAAATACAATGTACTTACTGTGTTCTTAATGCATTTGAGAACACTTGTGGTGCTCTTGAGTTGGGATAGGGGTTGGGTTATGGACAGGTTTAGTGGTATGGGTAGGTTTAAGGGTGGTTTAAGGTGTAGGGAATGGTCAGCAGTGTATTTAAAAATGTAATTACAGAAGTTAATTACAGATGTAATTACATATAGGTATTTAATCAAGCATAAGTACACAATAAATACATGTATTTACACAATAAGTACATTGTAACAAACTATTAATTCCTGTGTAAGTACATATTTGTTAAGGCCACTTAATATAAAGTGGGACCGAAATATCAGCAGGTACTCGGTAGGGTACTGCAGAAAGGGCACTTTTAACATCACTGATAGGCACAAAGATTCTCTTTTGCTCTCCACAACATGAAAACGCTTCAACATAAAGAATTCTTTCTAGAAATGTTTACTGAGAGACAGCCCCTGACCATGAACT